CTTGGGCCCGCTCAGCCTGGCGCAGAGGTGGCCGTCCCTGGGCTCCGCTCCGCTCGGGGCCCGCCTGGGCCGAGGGCTCCCCGGGAATGGCCTGTGTCAGCTTCGGCGCCTCTCGGAACGGTTCCTCTGGCCCAGCCTTTCCGAGTGATGTTAAGGAGCAATTTTACGATATTTTGTTGGTGTATCTCTGGGAAACATAGCAGGTGGAGAGGTAAACTTTTAACTTGTACATTCAGAGCAATATAGCTGACTGCATCCCAGGGTTTATGTTGGTTTGGGTTTTTTTACACTTAATGTGAGTGCTGAAATCAGTATGAGCTTTATGAATGTGCCAAATCCCTGAAAGACATCTATTCAAAAGTCGCCAGGAGCCACCCAGATTTACAGTACTATTTCCATAGAGCCTGTTGTATTTTAAAGCATAACTGTGGTCAGCCAAGCGTATTACCGTATTGTTTATTTCAGGTATGTGGGCACATTCAATGACAGTTCAAGATTACCAGGATCTCATAGACAGAGGATGGCGAAGGTAAATTTTAAAAGAAAATAACAAAGCTGTGTTGTCAGTTTAGATACAACTTAGAATCCAGATTTAAAATGTAGGTCTGTGAAAACAGTTAACTACTTTCCGTAAGTCATTGAAATAGAACTATTTGTCCAGTGCTCTGCCATGTTGTCTAACGTGACACTGTCGAACAGGAAAATACTCGGTTGTTTTAGAAGGGTAGTATTGTAGCAAAAAGCTGAAGAACTTACTTCTTGACTTTTGTTACTCATCATGTAATATTTTGATACTTTACAAAAAAGGTTTTCTAGTATAAGCAACAAAAAATCAATATGTATTTCTTACTAATTTTAGAAGTGGAAAATATGTCTACAAACCTATCATGAATCAAACGTGTTGTCCTCAGTACACGATAAGGTAAGAAGCTCAAAATAGACTACTGTAAGTGATTTGACTGCTTCAAATATTTCAACCAATTGTGTTTACTGCTTTAAAAACAGAATACTTGAAAAGTTTATCTACTTTTACTGATACTTTGAATACTAAATATATGTTGTTGGGTTTGTGCACAGGCACATCAGCGGCTCTGTGATGTTTTCCTGTAAGCAATCTGAAACGTGTGTACCCTTGCCTTTTGCTTCTGGGTGGCAATCCAAAGCAAGAGTCCTATGGTTGCTCTCTTGCTCACTGGTTGCGGGTGAACCAGTATGCCTGTGCCCCACAAGCACCGCTTTAGTAGCCCCAACAAGAGAGGCTGTCAGCTGAATAGGTGTCAGTAATTCTAGGTACACCTTTTGGACATTAATGGTTAATATCAATGCTGTATGTGTAAGATGGATAGGTGAAAAATGCTAGTGTATTAGCCTCCTAGGAAAGCTTTTTTATGTAGTGCTTGAGGTGACCTTGGCATATTTCCATAATTACAGTGATACACACACAAAACATGCCATAAAGAATGATACTATGCAGTACAAGGCAATATAATTTATTAACTCAAAAGTGTTCATAAAATATTTGACCAGTTAATTAATATAGGGGAACTTAAGAAATAATTAGAAGTTACATATACAGTGTAATTTTTAAAGGGGTTTCTTAACACTTTTTTCTGAAATAGTTTTTCCCAAAAGAAATGGTCATAATTTTTTTCTTTTTAAGGTGCCAGGCTTTGTGTTTTCAGACCTCCAAATCTCATAAGAAAGTTCTGAAGAAAATGTTGAAGTTTCTTTCCAAAGGAGATGTTTCAAAAGTAGTCACTGAAGGTAAGGAATTTTTAATGTTTGAAGACCAAGACTGGTGTTTGAAAGGAGGATCAAGTACCTGCTTGAGTGATCAAATGGCCAATACTCTTTGATTTTTGTATATAGACCCCTTTATAAAGGTCTGGGTAGGCTGTGTCTTTACAGTGTGTTTTGAATCAAGAGAACTATGTAGCCCAGAGACCCAACTGTGCAGCTGATTTGCTCTGTTGCAGAATATGTTTCCTTACTTTTTGCATAGACTGGCTTATTTTCTTTCTCATCTCTGGGCACATGCTTACTTCCTAACTGGCTGCCATAGAGAATTAGACCCCGTTTTTACCTCTGTCATAAAGACGATAATCTAGAGAGGACTAAGCAGGACAGTGGGTGGCAGAGAAAAGGAAGAGCAAGGAGGGAATGGAGGGTTTTTTCTTCCAGGTGACTGAACAGCCACACGTTATCCAGCACCAAACCCAGCTATTCCCAGCAGTGGTGGAACTTGTTGTGTTGGTTCTGAATCATTATAATTTGCCTCGTGTATGTGTGTGTGTTAGGTTTTTTGGATTTTTTTTTTGCTGCGGTTTGTTTGAAGTTATGGCATGAGATTAGTTGACTGCCCCATTTCAGTGGAAAAAATAAAACTGTTCTTGGAAATGAGTTCGTGATAGTAATTCAGGATCATAAAGGAAGGTTTCTGTTCTCATACTATTGCAAACAGTCACTTTCTGCTGGAAAACAGTTGTAAAATTGGAAATGAATTAATTCAGTATCAATGTTAATTGTGCAAAGCGTGAGCTGCGGTGGTACAGGGAGAATTCACTCATGCAGGTTTTAATTCTTTACAGAAGAGCCTATGGATTCCCGTATAGAGGATGCAGTCACATGCGGTTTTGCATATGAAAGTGCATCTCACATCAGTCAGGCTGAACTGACTCCCTTGAGCGTGGATCATGCAGAGAGGGTGGAGAATGAGGATGAGGACGCAGGAGAAACAAAAGAAGAGGTGGACGTGCAGAAGGTGGAATCGGGTTCTCTTCAGATATGTGCAGATAAAGACACTCCAGTCCCTGGAGAACCATCACGTTCGGCTAAAATTGTGCATGCACCTAAGCCAGGTAGTCAAATTTCTGCTGGTAATTGGAATATGCTATCATGATTTCACCTGTTGTTGAAGTCCTTTTTATCTTGCCTAGAAAATCAATAATTGTTTCTTTTTGCTCCCTATACTCTTCCCCATTTATGGAATTACAGTGTATAAATTGAGAGGTGCTGCATGTTCCTTTTTTTCTTAGCTTTAACTGAAAGTTGTGTTGATTTTCATTGTATTCCTTTTTTTTTTTTTTTTTGTTTAATTATTAGGAATATGTATCTACAGCTGATAGTTTTCTGTATGCTAGTTAGATTGCAGTCAGATAGGTCAAGGTGATTGAATCTCACCAGGCATTGGGACTGGTTTCCAGTTTGGGATACTTTTGTGTGCAGAGTAAGATGTGCATCCAGCTTTCCCTTTCTTCTAGAGGATGTGGTGACTCGGGCTGTATGTACCTTTGAGGTATGGCTCATAGAATCAGAGAATATCTCGAGTTGAAAGGGACCCATAAGCATCGAGTGAGTTGGGCTCTCTGGGTGTGCAAGACTAAGAGTGGTTGCAGCTCTGGCTGGTGCTGCAGGAATACTAGTTACTGAGTTGGGTTAAGGCTTAACCTTGTTTTTTGTGCAGCAGTGGGAAACCAGTTTAAGACCCAAGAAAAACACCTTAGGTATTGTTTTTACATTTCTTCATTTCTGCGAGACATCTTGTTGAAATACAAATTGTGTCGTTTACACCCTATGAATACACGCCTGTGAATAACTTGTTTAAGACTATGTATTTTTTACACTTTTTTATGCTTTCAGAGACTGTTTGCCACAGATCTAACTGGCATTGGAAAATATGTTCGGTATATAGTGGTGTTGTTGTTTTGTGAACTTAAAGAAAATTATATAGCTTTCTGCTGATTTAAAAAAGTGCAGATTCTTCTGATCCTCTATAAAGAATGACATTTTCTCGTTGAGCCTTTTTTTATCTGTTTGGGAGCTTGCCTTATTTTAGATTTTGGCTAACTTTAGATTAGAAAAGCAGTGTCACTAGGTGATGTGAAATTACCAGAAACTGAAGTAATTTCTCCATTTTTTTCTGGTGTAAACTTAATATTAAATTTCTGTAAGGAAGTGCAGTAAGCATGTGCAAGAAGTGAGGCCATCTCCCTCATTTTACTTCTTAGGCGTTTATGCAGTGCTGCAGCTCTCATGTGCCAAAAACTGAAGGTAAATGCTTATTAATTTCTACAGTTTTGTGTGAAAGTACATGGAATATTGGTGGTGGCATTTTTAATAATATTAATAGGATGGTCACTTTTTTCAATATGGAAGTTGTCCCTCAGTCAAACTTTTGTATCTATCGTAATTGTAAAGATTTCTGAAATGCTGCCTTTGGGCTGAATTCACACATGAAATATTTACCCTGAAAAGGGTAATCTCATTGTCAGTCATCTGACTGGAATGTTTTTCGTGTGATAGCTGTTATGGTACCCCTTCCTGTGGCACGAGAGCCTGGAGTCTGCGTCTGCTTGCAGCAGCATTAAGCGTTTTGCATAGCTTGTTGTGACACCGTAGGTCCCAGCTGGCGGGTGATCCTCTGCCTGGTGCGATCATGCAGGGGGGTCCCAGGGTGTCCCCAGGGAAAAAAGAAGTGCTGGAAACTCCTGGTACTGGGACGCGCCCGCAGGGTGCTGTGGGTTGCCTCTCCTACCGCTTCTCTCGTGTCCTGGCTGCGTTCTTGTGGGACACGGGTGCTTTCTGGAAGGAAGATGGTAAGGGGTGGATGGATTATTGCCAGGATAATTCATTTGACCAGCAGCCTGCACTGGAAAAGTAGTATTGCTGACCGTCTCTCTGTGGCCCAAAGGTTGCAGATAAGGCAGCCTTGTCTTACAGGTCGTGTTTCCAGTTTTGCATAGCTACTACAGTGGCCTGTTCAGAAAAACAAAGGGGATGTTCTGAATTGCAGTTAGCTGGTGCATGGTGAGTAATGTTAGTTAAAATCCTAGCGGAGAGTTTCTGCGTGTGTTGGGACGTCATACTGATTTCACTCACCTATTACATGTTGTGCCAGTATTTATGAGAACTTCAAAGCACTTTTTCTCTCCCAAGGATTTTTGTCTCCTGTGGTGTGGCTAATTTAAAATAAAATAATGTTTTTTCCTCAATGAACACTCATTCCGATTGGATCAGGTTTTCACCAGCTTAACAAGCAATTTTGCATCTAAACAAAAAGGAGAGTTTTCAGAAAGGCTTGATCAGAAAACCAGTAGTGCTGTGTAGAAGCAGTACTGCTACACGTTCCTGGAAAACTACTCCAGAATTTTTAAGACTGTATTTTATATTTTGATTTTATAAAATGTAGTCAAAATTTTTATAGCCCTTACATAGTTTATGGTTTATGTAACTTGTATTTGTTGTGCAAATTTTGAAAACACTCTTGTTTTTATAACAATTGATGACAAACTTTGGGTTATGTGAACTTCATTTTGGAAGCAAACTAAGTGGATACTGACAGCAGATGGCAGTCTTGGGTAAACTATTAGTGTAAACCTGCCATTGTTTTGAAAAAGGTGAGGTATGGTCTTCAGTTATACTATGAATAACATTGGGGAAGACTTGAAACACTGGAAACACAGGTAAAGAAAGCCTGAAACGTTTGTACTCTATTTTAGAAAACAGGGATTTACTTTTATAGAGGGGAAATAGGCACTAGTGTGCTTTCTTTCTGGAGGTTTTAAATGAAATATAAAAGTGAATAATAAATGCACCAGCGAGCTTCTTTAATTCATCCTTAATTTTTTTTTTTAAGGGTATGTGGTGTCACAGGTCAAATTCAGTTTAAAATTGTCCAGATAGAAAGATGTTTAGTTTTTATCTTGGGAAATGTAGACTTATTCCATAATAAGATTGTTTAATTGCATTTTTATTCTTTTATAAACAAAACAGGTCATTGTCTTATAGGAATAATGGGCTGTTTCTGCACAGTTTCAGATGGAAAAGGAGGTTTGGTTATGTCTGTATGCACGTTCATTGTTTTAAGAAGTTCTTCTTGCTAACTTACAGCTTATAGAAGATATGAGACATGAAACAGATCCTGATACAGATGAAGTACTCAAACATTCTTCAAATGTTTCATGAGTATTTTAAATAAACCCTTCCTCTGACTTGTTTGCCCATGGACAGGTCACATAATGCCTGTAATTTCCTCATAATATTTGTCCTTTTCTGGTGAACAATTTTAGATGTGTGGATGAAACAAATACACAGAAACCTTAGCTGAGAGGTGAGAACGCTGAATAATAAAGCCTGCAGCGTGATTGTAGGGTGCCTGAAGAGTGCCAGCGTGGGTTTGGTGCTATGAGCTCCTTTTCCAAGTCCCTGAGATGCTCTCAACATTTCAGCTGTTGGGGAGTCTGCAAGGCACAACCAGACTGGGACTTTCTGGGTGAGCCATGAAGAGCTTGCTGCTAAGTTCCCCTGGGAGGGCACTTACAAACTCCGTAAATTCGCTATGGTACGCACATTAAAAAGGAATAGTTTACAGCCTTACTGATACTTGAAAATTGATCCCAATATAAAGTATTTTGCCAATTTCTATGGTGTATCTATTCATAAAGAAAGATGCAGGCAGTGGCTCTGAAGGCTGAGATTCTTTGCAGGTGAAGTGACTCTTAAGCATTTCAGTGAGCTTTTAAAATTAGCAGTGCTCTCACCGTTTCCAGTTTGAAGAAGGGTATCACTGCTCTCATCGTCCATGGGAACGTTTGAAGCCAGCAGAGGACAAGAAAGATGTCATTTTTGGCTAATAAGTTACTGGTAAGAAGAAAGAGGAGGAAAGAAAGCTCCAAATATGTTTTCACAGGAGTTCTGGAAAAAACACAATTTCCATGTAATTTCCAGGCCTCCAGGAGAGTGAAGTGGGATAAGCCGTAGTTAAGTCTGGGTCTGGATTCTTCTTTATTTCTTACAAAAATTAACAGAGTTGGAAATGTGTCTTCTCCCTAATGCTTCGAATGAAAGCACCTCGCTGTTCAGGGTACTTTCCCATCTGAAAAGCTAAATCTTTCACAAGTTGCCAGTGTGTCTTTTGCAAATACATGGAATTCAGGAGAACGCTAACGGCATAGAAGACTTCTTCAGCAGTTTGCCATAATAGTTGTTACAGTTTTTGTTCTGAGCAAGATACTCTGTTTCCCTATAGGGGAGTAGTTTTTTCCACTCTTCCTTACCTTTTGACTTTTTTAATATTACGGCTCTTTTTTTGGCCTCCATCTCATCTACCACTGCCTTAAAAAAAAAAAAGTAATACAAAATGGAGAATTAGAGTTACTTTGTATTACATTAGCTGGTGGCTGATGAAATTTTGAGTGTGATTTTTCTCTCTGTGGAACTCGCAACAGCAGCTGCCAGGCTGAGACAGGTATTCCTTGAAAACTGATTATTTCTGCCCTGCTGTCCCTTCCTACAGCTCTTACGCAGTTTCTAGGGTGAGGTACGGGGTTCAGTTACTTGCGTGTGCTGCATGGACTAGCCAGCAGTGATGTATAGAACATAAGGAACGACGAAAGGCAGCACTGAGTGTTAGGGAAATGTTTCTTGCTTTTTGTCTTTTTGTAATTTTTACAAATTTGAATATATGGATTTACAGTCAGTATTGATGAAAAGAATACTGTCTAGGGAAACTGCTACTTGTAAGTAGGTTACTTGTTTGGTAACCATCCTTTCAGTGCATTTGGTGGGTGGCATGGGGACCAGCCATCTCTTTTTTTGTTTCTTTTAATTGTAGAAAATTCTTATTAATTTTTCTAGTACTGGCATTTTTATATCTTTACTTTTTGTCTTGTATTACTGTCCTAACTATAAAATTAATCTCATCCCTTTGTTGACGAATTCGGACCACTCTACATATTTACTTGTTCATATCTTTGGATTTATATTCCTTTAAAACTAAGTTCTTGTCATACTAATTACTGTTTTCCATGCTGATCCATTTGTTTTCTAGGTTTGACTTTTCTTTTAAGTAAATAGCATTTCACAAATAGAATGTTACAAACAGTTCATCTGTTAAAGATGAAGGTAAATTGATAAAAGTGAATTAGTAAAAAAAGACAATCAATATCATTTTAAGTAACAGTGTGAGCTCATGTAGCCTTCTGCTCTTCTTTTACGTGACATTAGTAGCATTGGCACTGGTGGTGCTGGCATTGGCAGCATTTCTGCGTACCGCATAAGGATTCCAGGTGACAAAAAAATAAATGCTTTTTTTGTGTGTGTGTGTGTGTGTGTATTCTACAGGAGTCTGTTGTGTAGCCACCTGGGTTTTAATGCAGTGGGACAATTCTCTGAATTTGGCTGAGGTTTTGTGGTTGTGGTTTTTTTCCTTTCAGTATTTCAAGCTGATCCTGCAGCTGTTTGGATGCAGTACACCATCATACCATACATTAAACAGGAGCTTTTCTTTGTTTCTGAGAGGGGGATGTGGCAAAATGATTTAAGGACAGACTTAGCAGGAAGTCTTTTTGTTTTAGTTCTTAAAGATATCCTTGGCTCTGGAGTAGAATCATGGTCAAGGTGTTTCCATATTAAAGTGCTGCATTAAACAGCCGTAGAGGAAAAGTCACTGCAACTTAGCTTGGCATCAGGCGTTGTCAGTAGTTGTAAATGGGAAAGATGTTACGTTCAGACTACGGTCTGCAATTAATGGTGATTTTAACCATTTCTTTTCAGTGATTGTGTAAGAACTACCTATATGTTGCAAAATGTAGTGTTTAATTCTTTGCTTGTGCCCTTGCAGGCAAAGGGGCTGATCTAAGCAAGCCACCGTGTCGAAAAGCAAAGGACATACGGAAAGAAAGAAAACTGCAGAAGATCCTTCAGAACCAGATGTGCACATTTGAAGGCTCTCCACTTCAAGCAGGAGATCAAGTTTTCCTCTTGCAAAACTCTAAATCTAAACCAAACCAACCTAAAACCATTGAAGACTTCATTTTTGTCTCTTTACCTGATGATGCAGCGCACAAATTAGAGGTAATTTCTCATGCACTGTTGTTGGAGGCAAATTAAAGAAAAGTCTAGTTAAAGAGTTTTTGAAATGCTTAGGTGTTTAGTATCTGTGACTTTATGGAATGGAATATATTGGAATATATGTGGTACTGCATGATAGGTACATGGTGCAGCTCAGCTCTGTCACCACAAGAGGGTAATCTTGCACTTGCAGTCAGTCGTAGCAGAGACCAGTACAGTTACCCAAATAACTTGTAAATTGATTTCATACGGTGTGACTTGAAAGTGAAAGACTTTGAATTAATTGAGTGGTGAATGATGAGGGAGATTCAATATTTAGTTCTGCAGTATATAAATACTTAATCTATCTATGCTAATGTATCTTGACAAGAAAGCAATAACTGTTCATAAAATTAAACAGATAAAAAGATAGCTGCTCTTTATAAATGTCATTGAGATGTGTTGATGTCTTTGGAAGCCATAGAAGTGATGGTATAAAATTTTGCTTAATATACTGGAAGACTTTTGGACTTCCTAACCCATAAACCTTTTTTTTTTGTTGTTCCTGGAAGCTGGAAAACTATCTGAATTTAAGTATTGTCCTGGAGTTGCTATTATCAATGGTGGTATTGGAAGATAAATTTTTAACATTCTTTTCGTAGTTATTCAAAGAGGTAGTGATGTTGACTTAGAAGATTCACCCTGAATAACTGACAAGAAGCCATGAAATTGCTCCATCTCACTAACTCCTCTAGATTTTCTGATGAGTTGTATAACAAAATTATGATGGCTTTGTCTGAACATCTTCATTTAGCAGATGCAGGGAGAATTAGAAAGAGGATGGTTCCAACAGTGTTTTACCAGATTGTCTTTGCTCCTTACTATGGCTGTCAAGTGTGGTGTGGGGTGGTTTTTTTTTTTTTTTTGGTAGATCAGAACCAATGCTGTTTGTGAAAATAAAACCATACTGAAAATTAAGTGTTTTTTGAAATGAATATGTTCTTAAATGTGCTCATGCGGTAGCATTCTTTTGGTTAGGGAGCAATCATTTTTACTAAGAATAATTTTTAATTTATAGATTTTTTTAAAAAACAATTATTTTATTTTTGTGTAAGGGTGATGGTGGACAGATAACTTCTTATTGCAATTAACTCATAATTTAATCTGGAAACATTATTTTGTCTTCCTTTCTCAATTTGAAAAATATCAAGAAATTCCCTTGGGATTATTGCAAAAAAACATAGTTTTTATCTAAAGAACACAGATACAAGTCTTCCAAATGCATGGCTCCATTCATTATTTTTCAGTATAGTGTACAACTACAAGAGAAGATTTTAAAAATAAAGAAAATCTCTCCAAAATGTCAATCTGCATACCATTTGTTGTGCTGAAAATTATTTGTGTAGTTCTTCTATAGACATTTTAGCCATCTTAATTTGTGGTTTGAAAACCTTGTATGTTATTCAGTGTAAATATAAAAGCCTTGAATAGCCTAAATTGAGCTCAAGAATTGGAAGGCTATTGGCCAATATTAATTAAATTGTTAGGGCCCTTGTGCAGGAATTCAAAATTTTTCTCTGTTGTGATATTTGTATATGTATAAATATATAGTTATTGCGTGATATTGTAATAATAAATGTTTTTGACTTCTTCTGAAGGTGAGGGTGGTGAGATCATCTCCACCAAGTTCACAGTTCAAAGCCACATTTCAGGAGTCTTACCAGGTCTATAAACGTTACCAGATGGTTGTTCACAAGGACCCACCTGATAAACCAACTATAAATCAGGTCAGAAGGCCAAATGAATTTTATGCAAAGTTCAGCTTCCCCTCCATTTCATGTGTCTTGTTTCTAGGAGAAGCAAATGTGGATTTTATATCCATGTATCCATTATATACTCAGGAGCATGTAAAATACTGGATCAAATAAAATCAACGTCTTGAAAGTGCAAACTCTTTTGATATCTCTTTGTGAGTGCCACAAATATGTGATCTTAATTGCAGACAGAAAAGTTAAGGAAGTTAAGCAGGGATGCTATGGGGTAAAAGAGGGAGAGGATGAGGCTTTTGGAGATGGTTATTGTGGGCCTTATAAATACAAATCTTACAAGAACTAAAACCAGCTGGACACTTACCCTGATAACTAGTGTTACTGGCTTTGGTTTGAATCCTTCGTAAGGAGGAACAAGCATGATCAGGGCCAGCACGTGAGTGAAGTTTTCTAAACCTCTATGTTTTCAATTAAAGCCCTTCAAGAAGTAATCAGTGCACTCCATCTAAATTACACGTCGTTACTGCTTCTTGTAATGATCAGGTGGTGTGTAATAGTTAACTGTCAGACATATTACCTCTCTAAAGGAAAAAAATTCAGGCATTGGGAGAAAAAGTATACGTAGCAAGACTATGTAATTGCTAAACAGGGGCGGGTGATGTGCTGTTAAAAAGAATACATTTAAAAAGTCCTTGAGACTGTACCATGAAAATAAATTTTGTGGTTGATTTGTTAGATAGCTTGGTCAAAAAATAGGTCGAACAAACTGATGCTTTGAAGTGTTCTAGTGTTCTGCAGTTTTTATTCTTTAATGGAAGTATTGACAGTCAGTTTAAGCTTAGTGTTAGTTGTCAGACTTTCCCCTGTAGGAGGATTTTCTTGTTAGATGTTTGAAGTAGAAAACTGACTTCAGAGGCTTTGAAGTGGATCGGAGGAGATCTTTCACTAGCCTTACCTTCAGAAGCATATTATCTGATTATATGCACTCAAAATAGTATGCTTGTATTTTCCTTGCTCTGAAGGTGAGGTTAGTACCTGTCTCCTTTGAAGACCCCCAGTTCAAATCATCCTTCAACCAGTCAGCCACTTTATTTGCCAAGTATCAGATGGCTATACACAAGGATACACCTTCTGACTGTGGCGAAAATGAGGTACAGTTCACTGCATGCACCTTTATGAACACTTTTTTTTTTTTTTTTTTTTAATGCACAGTTAAATGATGGGAAATGGTGTCTCTTAGAGTGATTCTAAATATTAAAATATCAGAGTTTCCATTTGGGAGGGGAAGCATTGTGGTTTTTAGCAAGCTTCTGTTGCAGGCTTCAGCCCGGGGGAAACTGAGCTGAGGAGAGAGGGATTATGTACCATCATAAGCAAACCCACCAATGTTAGTAATGAGTTAAGTAGAGTTTGTACATGATTTGTAAAGAGGTCTGGGACTGAGATTTCCACTGGAAATGGGATAATGGTATGGAAGTGCTTCTTTGATGTTAAAGCATCTTCTGCTTTAAAGCTGTTTGGTACCTTTTCCACATTTCTCCTGAATTTTTTATTGTCTTGCTTAATTTAACAGGTGAATGTTTTAAAAAACTGTCAGTTTTATTTGCATTTAATTGCTAAGCATCCCTCTCAACTAGAACTCACCTTTGCAGTAGAAATAGTGCAAAAATATTCCTGCCAGCTGATTGTCTGAGATTCAGTGAGAGTATGTTGTATCTTAAAGCCTGCTTTTAAAATGGTGTTTACAGGATGCTAATCCTAATCTAATAAATTTAAAAAAAAAAAAAGTACTTGTAGCGTTCTAAACAAGCAGCTATTCTCCATTTCTCTGGCAGGTGGCACAACATTTTCATTAGCAGAATTAATAAACCTGCTACCTCAGATCTGTTGTTTCTATCTACTGCAAATGTAAGACTTCAGTATTGATCAGCTGTCTAGCCAGACTTTTCTGTTCCTGAGAGCAGTACTTGCAGAAGTGATACCTAGCAAGCTGTGGCTGCTTTCCAGGTAGAATAATAAAACCACATAATCATTTTTGGCTTTAGTTCAAAAGAGTGTAAGGAGAGCTTTTTTGTGAGATCTCTGTAATGCTACTGTGAATGCCGTAAAATTTATTCCACTTTGTTTTGTAAAATAATAGGACTCATAACAATAAGTAGTAGTCTCTGCTCTTTTTATAATTACTGACATAAATTGAGTTAATTATAATAAGGTAAAAATTGGAAACATGCCAGGAAAGATTGAGCTATTTACTAGATTTGTACCGGGCATTACCTAGCCTGATTAGGGACTTGATTTGTCTGCTACAATGAATGTATTTCAGCCCTAGTGCTCAGATGTAGCATATACTCCACCATGCTTTTGCTCTGAAAACCTTGTTGCTGCAAAGAGGGTGGTAAGAACTTCATATACTTACTTATTCTTTGTTTAAAATTATGGATTTTTTTAATGCAGTCATTACATCATGAAGTATCAAGAGCCAAATCACAATGGCAGTTTGCAGCTCAGTTCTGAACAGCAGTTAGCTCTCAGTTCATCTGACCTCTGCTTGGGTCAGAGCGTGTGGTTTGGTGTAGACTTGGGTTTGATGGCCTTCATCACCCATGGAACTTATGTTTTTAAACTGAGGGTGTCCAGGGGAGGAAAGCTTATAAAGATGCATTAAGGACAGTTCCAGTTTCCACCACCTTAAGGTGTAAAGTCTCATGGGAATTGCTGTTGAATAGGAAGGAGATGGATTTAGGTTCATACTGCTAATAGTTTAATGGATTTTCATCCTCCTCTTTTTCCTTGTTACTTGCCGTAGGTGTTCCCCTATTCTGCCTTCTCTCTCTTGCATCATGTTTCTTCAGGCTTAGTGTAATATTCCAGAGGAGACGTCAGATCTTCTCTGAAGCTTCTAGTAAATGTAAAAACTTGAACTGATGCTGATGGCTTTTAATTTAGGTCCTTGTTTAGCACTAGTAAATTATCTTGTGTGTTCACGTGACTTGGGCTAAGAAGGTCTTTCTATTCACAGTTATTAGGCACTAAAGCTCTCTCACTTCAATCAAAAGCATTTTGTATTTGATCCCTGCAGGGAGTAAACTGAAGAATACTTTACACAAAATGTATTTTGATGTAGATTAGAAGCCTTTTTTTTTTTTTAATACTGAATTTGTATGGGAGGAGAACTATCTAAGTCACTTTCCAGAACAGTAGATACCAAGTAGGGTAAAACTGATCCAAGTTACTGAAAGGAAGGGTGGAAAATGCTATTTGAAAGATCTCAAACTTTGTCGTCTTCTTTTTCAGACTTTTTAACACATCATACAGACATTATGGAGCCAAGCAGTTCTTTAAGTAAAGTTAGAATGCAATTCTGTCCTATACGCAGGGCTTTTTATCAGGGTAGTAACGAGTCTGCTTTAGGCTTTAAATTGGCAAACATCCAGGAATTTTTTTGCTCTAAAAATTAAATTTAGTTTTTAATCTGTGCAAGCTAATATATCTGTGTATGGTAGGTGAACCTCCTTTTCAGGGAGATTCCTGCACACTTTTGCATTTGGGAAGTTCCTAGTTTAGGAAAAGTATGTAATTTTATGTTTGGCTGCACACTTCATATTCAGAAACCTGTCTATATTTAAATTCAGAATCCAACAAAAAATTTTATGGGACATATTAACAACTTCTTTTTGGAATATATTCTAGGATTGTTGGCATTACAATACACTGTCTGCCCATATTAGCTGCTAGACTAGTTCAATATTACCTTATTACATTAAAGGGCAATTTTAGGAGTAGACTTCAAATTTTGGTGTTTATTTGAAAGTAACACTAATGTGGGAAGTTATACAACAGTTCACAATGTTAACAAAAGGTATGTGAACGATGAAGCTGATTATTGCTCAATGAGTGTGAAAGAAGGCCCTCTTTTTGCACCTGTGCAATGTCTATACATTTCTTCGTCAAGATTTTACGTGAGAAAGGGGAATGGATCATTTCCAGGACAGAGAATCCATTGACACTAAAGATTTCTTTGAACTTCCAGGCACTCTCTGGTTAGTGTCACTTTGAGACCAGTGATAACTGGTGTTTCAGTGCCCTTCAAGATGGTGGGTCCTCTTGAATTTTGGCTTTTTCTCCTTACTTTCTCCTCTCCTTCTGCATCTCTGATGGAGACTGCAGTAGCACTAATAATAGTGTGTGTTCATTAAAAAGAATTAAGTTTGAGAGTCCTGGGATGCATTTTGGTGATGCAGTACTGTTTCCTGATTGAGGCAGTGGCTTCTGTTTGTTTTAATAAAAAGCAAGGTAGAAATTTCACAACTTTTTCCAAGTCCTGGAGTTGGTGTTACTGCTGTGGTGATGAAACCTTGCCTTTTCTATGGAAACATCATCACAGTCTTCAGTGCCACTCTCATTAGCAAGTAGAGGATTTGGTAAGGTAGAAGTATATTTGCTATCTGCCAAATAAGTGAATATTCTAGGAACACTTTTGAGTATCTCCTTGCTCCTGGAATTAAAACCAGTTTAGCTTGCAAGAGAAAAATTTTCAAATCTGTTTTTCTCTTGACATAAAAGCTACACCTATTTTCTGGATAGGCTTTTGAACTCTTGATTATCCTATTTTCTCTTAGTTTGTCTGTTATAAATTGAACTTCTCTTGGAAATCTTCTCAACCCTCTCAAAAACCTTTGTTCAGTTGCTACAGGATTGCAGCTTCAGAACTGCCCTGGTTGCCTCTGTGCTTCGGAGTGCAGTCAAGTACTGATGTTATGCTCAGTTATTGGCACCTAAGAATATTTACGTCGGCGTGTTTTTATTGAATTGAATTGGTGTCCTGAGGAAAAACATAGCAAATGATTTTCTAATTAAAGGTTGCTTCATAATGCTTGCTCTTAAATAGTGCTGTGGAAGAACTGATTTTTCAGTTTTTCTCTGTGGGAACACAAGAGCTTATTATGCTGCTATGTAAATGCATAATCATCCACTGTTTTAGTAATATATGTACTCCTACCTTAAAAAGAGTTGTTGGA